CTTCTAAATATAGAATTTCGATCGCCGTTACCCCGCAACTTGACGAGAGCCGTACATCCGGTTTGGATATCCTGCGCACGACCGCCTGGCACTCTCGAGAAACGTCTCGAGACCTCCCGAGCGACACAAGCGGCGATCTGAATCTTATCGGATACGTGGGACCTCGACGCTGGATGAATCTAACGGCGCTGGATGAATCTATGATTTTGCCTGGGTCTCACAAACATCTCAGATCTCGGAAACATCTGTTTTCTCGTCGATATTTCGATATGCCTAACGTCGTATGCCTAACGATAACGGAACAGGGGTGCTTTATCGCCACGTATCGCCAAACGAAAGCCGCACAAGCGGTATTTTTCTATTTCGGAAAAGTATAAACTTATAAAAAAGAGTTAAGCTCCTTTTCGCCAAGAAAGACAGTTTAACTACCAAGTCCAAGCCGTTTCGCGTTCGTTCGTTTTAAATGAGATGAAAAATTTCTCTTCAATTCGCTCTTTAATCGACTTACACTTTTGAGATGTAATAAATAATACCGAAGGTAATCGCGTTGCAATTTTCCTTCAATTTTCATTCCTAATGAACCTCCAGGCTTAATGATTACATTTATCGACCCCTCCTGGTATCCAGGTTTTTTTCAACTATTTCGCAGATAACCACGTAGGTTAAAAGGAATGTAAAGCTTAATGAAGCGCGGCCCTCTCGGTTCCTCGCGATCGAATTTCCCCGAAAGGGAAGGAAGAAGAAAGAAGAACCTCTTTCAGTGCTTATCGCGCGCGACCGCGGCGATGTTCTTTAAGGAGAATTATGCGCCAAGTATAAAGTATAAAGTATAACGTTGCGAGGTGCGTTGACCCTCAAAATCGATATTTCTATTAGGCTCCGTATCAGCGTCCGTCCGTAAAGCCGGCGTTTGTAGTCCTGCTCTTCTTCTCTCTCATTTCCTCTATCGTTCCATCCATCTCTTTCGTCCTCTTTCTTTCTTTCTCCTCTCTCTCTCTCTCTCTCTCTCTCTTCTCTCTCTCTCTCTCTCTCTCTCTTCTTCTTTCTTCTCCTCTCTCTCTCTCTCTCTCTCCTCTTTCTCTCTCCGCTCGTCTGTCTCTCGGTTTCTCGCTCGCCGTATGCGGTGCGTTTGCATGAATGTCCGCGTTGCGTGACGAGCTGGCTTTGAACGCAGCCGCAGAGTCATAGCCACGGTAGAAAACTCCTCGGCCAAGACCACTGACCTTTCCTCTCCCCGCGATTCAGGATATGAAAACGTTTCGAGATCGAGGACTTTCTAATCCGCGGATATATCGCGTCCACAGTTTTCCAGCAGCCATGGAACACAATTGATTCTCGATCGATATCGAGATAACGAATTAACTACCTGACGTTCTCCTTTCAGTCCGAGTCTTTACGTAACGGAGAAACCAAATATTGTATATACGTTCTATCGAAAGATTATTTTTACGTTAAATATTAGATTGGCTATTCGACCGAATCTTTTTTAATTAAAAAATAATTTTCCACTCAAGCTTCTTCTGAGTATATTTATATTTTAATAGAATAGCTTTAGAATTTCATCAAGATCGATTTATTTCACTTTGGCACGAAATTATTGTCTCGTTATAACGATAATTTCATATCCAAAATGGTTAGAAATTTATCGTATTTTTTTACACTTCCACGTGCTCAGTCATGCGGCACCGATATTCTCTTACTTCTTTACGAGCGCGTGTATCTCGAAATAAAACGCAATTGATTAGCGACACGCGGGATACGCGCGCATAATAACGCACTGACTATACGCGAGCGAAATCCGGCCATGTTGGTACATGCATCACGGAAATGACCCCGTGTAACCGGTGGTATTACCCCAGACCCGTGTTTTCATGCACTCATACGCGAGAGTGGATGGAGCACGGGCGCTCTTAATGTATGTACGATTATCGAAGCGTATCAATCCTGCTTTGCGTCCAGAGAAGCGCCATATACCTCTTCTCCAGATAATGGAATCGACATTCGATCCATATCCGAGAAGAATGCACGCTCCTCGAGTCTGCGATACATTTTTTTTATACTTAACGCGATTCAGTGAGCCGAGTTGAAAATGCGGATCGAAGAAACCAATGTACGGCATAATCCGATGATTACGTAGTTGATGTGTGTGTGTGTGTGTGTGCGTGTGTGTGTGTGTGTGTACACATTTTTATAGTTCTTCGTATATAATCTATATATAATTTCGAGTATAAAAACTTCAAGGAAATCTAGTGAACATCATCAACATGGTCTATGCTCATTCTACTAATGTCATATATTTCTGACGATGGTATAAATGATTTCATATATGTTGCAATGTATTTTTAACTTTGTATTCGAATTTAAAGACAAAAACTTAATCGACTTGCTGATAGAAGAAAAAAATATATAGAAAATAATTTAGTGTCTTGCAAAATTTTTTGTTGTAATTTTCTTTGTGTATTTTATTCGTAATTATGGGCGCATCGAAATGTGTTAACCAATTCGATTTGTGAAAAATCGTCCTGCAAGAATCCTTCAGCAGCCGCATACATCCACGTTCTTTCAGTTCCAATCAATGTTCGGATGGATTCCTGACCTTATTTGGCCATCATCATGCCTCCCAAACGGTTCCATGAAACAAATCTTCGTGAAGATTCCACGCGCATTGCCCTCGCAAATAAATTATTTCTTCACTCAGAAGAAGTGAAATGTGAACCAACAAATCACGAAGATAACGGAAGATAAGAAAAAGAATCGATTTTGGCGCAAACTCTTTAATTTTCGTTTTCTACTTTTCAACGTTGAACATTCAACGATTCTACAATTATCGAGTTTTCATTAAAGAAAGAAAGTCGCTCTTAATAAGAAAGTGCAATATAACATAAAAGACTTCTGATATACTTTCCATATTTTAGTTGTAAATAATAACTCACTGAGTGTATCCTATACGTATACTGGTATTTTAATTTTCTTCGGAAAGCGGAGGTAACAGATCCTTTGGAGATCCTTTCATTGAAATGTGAGTGTCAAGCGAACGTGAAGTGGGTCATTGTTGTAAACTGACGGAGAAGCCGCGTACACGTCGGAGAGTCAGGGTCGCGTAAAAGATCGAGGGGGATCGTCGATCTCTCTTCGAGCGAGCGTTTACGCACGGACGAGCCCGTAATAGCGTAGAACACTCTCGGGCAACCTGCGGCGATCGAAGTGGAAAAACAAGAGGAAGCTAGGAGACAGCGAGAAAGAGCGGGATGAATAGGCATCTATATATGTGTATATCTGTGCATTCCGAAAGAGAGAGAGAGAGAGGGGGGGGAGGGATAAAGAGGGCGAGATATAGACAGGGAGGTAAAGAGGGCGAGATATAGACAGGGAGGGTCCGTTACGTACATAACTGCGCTCTAAATGCATCGATCGTATGCGGTGCAAACGCCGTAATCGGATTCCCACGCAGATCGCAGCTACCTCGGGTATTACGCGAAGGGGATTAGCGACGCGATGCGGTGATCTCCGCGAGCGAGTTTCCGCCGGAATCGCGGCGCGGGAGCGTGCAAGCGCGAGGGGCACCGAGATCGAGTTAACGATTTAGTCAGATAAAGCTTAGATCTAAGCTCCGATTTCTGAGAATCGTGGCATTAAATAATTAAAAACTTGTAACTTTGCAAATTCGCGTAGAAAACACCTCAATTGCCGAATGCATGTTTCTACAATCCAAATCGCACGTGTTCCTTCAGAAATCTTGTTTACATACAGATAGCTCCAGCAATCTTTCGAATATTTTTAAAAATAAAACTTACTTTATATCATACAAAAGTCTTCTTTAACTGTTATATTTTAAATTGTTATTATTTAATATTTATATATGTGAATAATATAAAATATTTATTCTCTTTACGTAAACTATTTAAAATTCTAATTATACGAAAATATAAAAATATAATTATATAAAAATAGATAAAAAGTAACAATTTTCTTGTTAACAATTTTTTCTCTTACTTTTTAATATATTTCCATATTTATCATTTTGCTTAAAAGCCGCAGCTGAGGGTAGATGACTTTCATTATAACTTATATTCACAAACATGATAATACTAAATGATTCTAAAATTATGCATTTGCATATTAAATGCAAAACTGAAATGTCCATAAAAAAAGAGCTGTAAAAAAAAGATTAAAGTAAATCTTGATAAATTATAATATTCTTAAGACTTTCATTTTACAATGCATTGACAGAGAAAAGCTGTGAAAGCTTCGTCAAGATCATGGACTTGCAAATTCCAATTATTGCGTTACGTGCTCATTAATTCCATCGTGCTCGTATATTTTCCGCTTAATTCACTTCATTAATCTCGATCAAGCAAACAGTATAATTAATACTTTTCATGTATTATTCATTGTTTTAAATCGCCGAATCATTTACTCATACGAATCACTCGCTTCAATCATATAGATCAACAATTTTATAATTCACTTTCTTGAAGTGATATATAAATTTAAAAAATATATATATATTTGTAATCAAATATCTTTCTTTTTATTAAGCAAAGAAAAATCATTCTGATGAATAAAGATTTAAATATCTTTCACAATTATCGCTCAATCGCCCACATCCAATCGCGTTTTCACATCAAATTCAATTTCTGTCTTAAAAATTTACAAAACACAGACGACCCACAAATATCGTGACTGGAAAGTCTGCTAAATGTTGCGCATTCGCATATTTATTCTTCGAACAAATCAAGTGACTCGTTCCTAGGGTGATCGAACTCCTATCGGTCGTTTAGTTGATGATGTCAGAGCGAGATAGTACGAATGCGAAACAAGAGAACGCTGTCACGACATAAGAGTTCGCGATTTCGAACGGGAAAGCGTCGCTACCTGCAGCGAAACGTGCGGCGCAACTGCAATTGCAATTGCAAGTGCACTCGAGATAAGCGCCACGGATACAGAAAATAGTTGTCCAGCGACCTTTATCAGTACGCGACATCGAACGCGAACGAACGGTAGGCTCGACGCGGAGCCGAAGGCGAACCGAACCGGTACACCGACGACTTCTATAAAGGTGCGCTTGCACAATTTGAGGTATTATAAATAAGAAAATAAGACCGACATCTCACTACATCGTAATACATCGCGAATTCAGAAGATATAGATATTATCGACATTCGCAGTCTGAATTATTCTGCCATCATGACGAGAAGGAATATATACGATTCACGAGCTTCGTTCAATATCGTTCGTTCCTACCTCGGGGTAAATGCACCTTAACTTCGGCAAACACTCTAGTACTCGAGTACTCTAGTACTCGCTTTACGCGCGCACCTGATCCACGTGGGCGCCGCGATCGTTTCACCGATCGGTTTCCGCCCACGCTTTCCACATCCTGTCAAAAAGAAAAAGACTCGAACGCGTCTCGTGCGCGTGTCGTGTACGATTACCATTCCAAAACTGGCGGGAAGCCAGATTTCTAATTTTGAAAGCGCATGGAGAGCACGATTCCGGTGCTCTCGCGGATTAACAAGCGGCCTGAATAATGTATATTAATGATGTTATGTTTTACGTAAATTTGAATATAGTTGCGTATTACAAAATCGATATTTTTTTGCAATTTTTATCGCTAACGCGAGAAAAAGAATTTAATTTGTTTACCTAGATTATAACCAATTTTCTTCTAAGGTCTGATTATAGAATTTATTTAATGGACTTTAGATTTCCTTCACGTTACGAAAAGACGTGGTTTCTGATGTGACGATAGGCAAAATGAGCCACTTTACGGAATACGCGAAATCAATTTCATATCTGAATAAGGATGAGCATGCACTCGAAAAACTAGTTTCCACGATGAGTACGTGTTTCCGGATTTTCCAACTACGGTCGTATTGCATCGTTTTACATGTTCATACTCATAAACTAAAGGCTCTTCCCTTTTCTTCCTTTTTTTCTTCATATTCTAGATATTCTTCATCTAATCTAGATTTCTGTATTACAAACGTACAAAAATGTAATCGCTGGATTTAATTAATTAAATAAGAAATACTAATAATAAATAGAGAAATACTAATAAGAAATATTAAATAATAACATATATGATAATACTATATTATATTTTTAGAGGCAAAAATTATTTTGTTATGTCTGAAAATGAAGTATTATTATAACAATTTCGCTGATTTTTCTTAATTTCAATTTTTGGAATAAGATAAACGAAGAGATTTTTCCATTAAAAACATCTTTTCACCTTTCTGTCATTCCGTTTCTTGACCTGAAATTTCGAAATCAACAGACGCCCGCCGGCGGCGTGACGAATGTCCAGCGATGTAACACAACGCATACCATTGACCTTTTACACCGGGACCAAACCGGCGGGAGTGAAGTAACAACGAAGCGAATCGCCGTCACGGCTCCAATTCAGCCGATAACGAAGCGCTGATTATCGTGGGACGGAATGCACACCGCCAATTGTAAATCCCTTCTCCGCAATGAATATAATGTATAATATGCCATGTAAGAAATCGACGCGTATAATCACAAAAACTAAATGTTGTGCTAATCTATCTTATCCTACCAGGCTGTGTCTGTGAGCTTTAATTTAAAAAAAAATATATAAAATTATATTTTATATTTTAATATTTCATATGTGGAGATTTTTGATTAACTCATTATTTCCTCCAAATTTTGTTGGAGGAAACAATTTCCTCTTGTCATCATTAAAAACGATTGTATGCTCTCTTGACGTCACTATTATATTAAGAACAATCCCAAGTATTGCAATCGTGCAACGCTATTGGACGATGTTGAATTTCGCGTGTTTATTGATATAGGAACATCCTTTTTACTAATATTTACAGTCAGTAGAACTGGATTATTAAGTGTGGTCTCGAGTTAGTCACAGACGCTACGTGCGTAAAGAAAGCAAATAAACGCGAAAGCCGTAAGGCAATCGTCGCTGATGCGCATTGTTAGCTGATGTGAACTGTCTGCTGCCTCCGCGAACGCTTGCATTACGGTACCAGTTGCATTTTCGTGCCTGGAATATTGTAATCCAGAGATAAACCGTGCTGAATTTTCGTGTATGAGTTCGAGGTATTACGAGAACTTGGGTGTCGTTTAACTTAATATCAAAGTACAAATAATTAGATATAATCACATCTCGATTCCAAGCGAGAAATTAATTAAATCAAATGAATGTAATAAAAGTGCCAAATCACGCTACGCTGGCTATTATTATGGTAAATATTAATAATGAAAAATGATTTGATCATGTTGAGAATTGTTGAATCAATTTTTCTAGATTTTCTAGATTACGAATTTCAATACCGACTCAAATTCTTAGAGAATTGGATCAAATCTTTTTATATAGTTAAAACTGACTGTAAAATTATCGTTATTCGCATAAAAAATTTCCATTTCTTGCCTCTCAAATTTTTACGCGAAGAATTATAGATTTCACTTTATATGAATATTCTTTAATCAATTTGTCCATCCAGCTTACTCCATAAAAAAAATCCAATTTTGCCGAATCGTATAAAGCATTATATATAAAGTAGTTAAGAATTATTCTGCGCCTGTGAGCTACGATTTGGGAAGCAATTATTTATCTGCGTTCTCGTTATTGACGGATTATTTGCACGCGGCGGACAGAGCGCGGCCGAGAAAGCGACGATGTTTGACGATCCGATCGATAGAAGACCGGCCACCATAAACGCTTTAACATCGATACGACAAACAAATCACCGTCCGGAAGTCCGATAATGCCGATTGACGGCATCGGCGTAGCAAATATTCGTTTCGCGGCTAATGATTATCCGTCGACGAATCCGATGGAAATGTGCACGCGTATGTCGCCCGCGATATTTAATCACCCCCCTTCAATTTGACGTTGTGCTTAATTATTCCCGATGTGCGTGAAAACGCGAGCGTGTTTTAACCCCCGGTTTTCTAAACGCATTCAACTTCCGGCTGTGTCGCCTCGAAGCTCCGGTCGTGCGTCAAAAAAATAAAAGAAACGTAAATTAATTAATTCCTCCGCCGCACGCGATCTATTTGACAGATACACGACATTGCGTTTTCCGCCAATAATCAGAAGGAGATCTTGAAATTAATTAACGACGCTTCCTAGATACTCACTCTTGGCACAATGCGACGCGGTGAGAAGATCGACGTGTTTTGTGTTAAATATATAATGCAGATAAATTTTTCCGAAGATGCGCGCGTTTAATAATCCCCAAGAATTTTGCGAACTTGCGAAATGCGACGAATATGTACTTTCGTCGCTAAAATATAAAAGGTCACCGATCTCGCGGTAACTTTACTTGAAAAGCGCGAGAACTTTCGTCCGCATATTTCTCCGAAACGCGCGCGCGCGCGCAAAGCGTAACGCGGGCGAAGAAATATATAGTTTATTGCGTGAATGCACGTCGTGGCACGTTCGAACCGAAATAGAAATACGAGTTTACGCGAGACGTTCCGTTAATTACGTTAATTACAGGTGGCATCGCGCGGTGACGTTTCGCGCAGCGCATTTTGTTTCGATTAGACGCAGGCGCGATCCTTCCCGAGTCTATAAATGCAAATGCAGCCCCGGCTCGGGTCGAGCCCCGCGTCAAAGAGGACAATCTCAATTTGAATTCTCCAGCGTGAGCTCACGTAGTTTCGCGCTGAACGCGTGTGGAACATTAATTTCGCCTACGATAGAGCGTTTCCCACGCACAGCTGATTACGAACGATACACGAACTTGTGCAAGAATACAAATCGAAATTCGCTAAAAAAAAAAAAACGATCGAAAACATCGACGACGACATCCATCTGTAAAAATTGAATTTTACTTATTCGTCCGCCTCCCGCTTCCATTCTCGGATGACCAATGTAATTGTGACGTTACCGGACGTAAATAATACACGTCGAAAATGCAGAGAAAGCCTAATGGCGCGAGCCTTTGAAATCTCCCACGTTCACGATCAACGAAACCTTCGTAACGAAGATAGCATGCGACACACAGTACGCAACGTCATATATTGCATTAGGGTAACTTTATTAATTAAGCGCTACGGCGATAGGCGATGTGGGAGACACGTATTTTCCCTACGTCCATTTATTTTCCCCGTTCATTCGTGCGACCCGAGGAATGTCATCGGATATACCTATATATCATCGTAAGCTTCCAATTTACCGGAAACGGAGGTGACACGCGATACCAACGGAATTTCTCATTCCAATTTCACTCATCGATATCGAACCCATTACTTCCAGTGAAAAATTTCAATTGCGCGAGAAATGCGATATTCGATATTAATTCGCGAAAAGTCTCCTTAATTTATCAGGTGTTACGGAGTCGAATTTATAGGCCGATGTGGACCTACGGTGGAATTACAATGTGAAAAACACGGGAGCTTCGGGAGCTTCCTTTCCGTCGAGAATCAACAAAAATGTTCTCGAGACAGATATTTCACCAATAATACGGAGTTCTTCAAAATATTTTCTCGATTGAGTAATAGCTGTGGCGAAACTTTCACTGAACGAAAACGAGTCCAATGTCAGTGAAGATAACGCACGTTGTAGATACACGTTTTACGAATATTAACATCGCCATCTCGTCTAAGTATGCAAAGCAGCAATCGTTTTAAGTTACATGTGTATACACGCATATGTAGTCATTGCTCGTTCAAAACGACTTCCTCTCTCGGCCCTTTGAAATGCAGATGCGGGCGCAACATTGCTATATGCATATTGCAGAAATGCACTTTTTGCACGAACGCACGCCTTTACTGCAGCAGACATTTCTCTTTTTTAATAAAAAAACATAAGTAAGAAATAAATTTTAATTTTTAACTTCCTGTTTCATCCACATATATAAGTTCTATTTTTCTCACTCTAATTTCTTTTATTATTCTTAAATTATATTTTGCTGTCATTTTTCCTCGAGATTATTATTATTCGCAAAAACTTGTGAAGAAAAAGTATACATAACGTAAGCATACATATTCGCAATGTTTTAAGCTTAGAATCATAGATACTAAATTTAAATAATTTATGCGGATCCTTACAGAGTAAAGAGTAAAAAAGATTTCGACTCGGAATACCTTAAAAAATTATATTAATTATTTAAACACAAAATTCATTCGGCGAAAAAAATATATATTTTCCTTTAAATTATTTCTACATTTTGAAATATTATCAGAAAATATATATTCAGCAACATATTTTCGTAAAAATATTTTATATTTATTAAAATAAAGAGTTTTAAGTTTTCGTTGGACAGATTTATTTATATCCTTCATCTCTTTCATATTTTTATTTATTTGAAGAACATTATTTGATAGAGGGCTCGCACCACCGCTTTTATGTTTCACAGCATACTCAATTTTCCTTTGACGCTTTTCTCTGTAAAATTAATAAATTTTTCACGACTGAGAGAACGCAAAAATTGTTCATTTTAGATAAACTGGCCGAATTACGCGGACGTGAACCATTTCGCTTGTCAGCGTCAACGTCGTGTAGAATTAGAAGCGCGACGACTTGAGTGCAATTGCATCGCTCGATTCGTGCCGGCGTCACGATATTTGCACATTGCATTCCAGTGTTCTTTCAACACTTCGTCGACTAACGAGCGACGGTAGGCGAAACCGATAAATCAACGAGGGCAATATATTCCATGTGATTTACCTACTAACCGTGACCTTTTTTCTCAAATTAGGATTAGAAAACCTGTCATTTTTGTGCCACAGCGCGGTGAACAGAATGCGATTTTTATTTTAAAGAAACAAGTTGAATTTAAATAAAATCCAATGTTTAAGCAGCCGCAAAATTTTTATTCTTGTTAAATTCCCGTAAACTATCTATTCTTAATAAAATAAGATTAGAGAATTTTTAAATAAGATTAATTTTAAAATAAGATTAGAGAAGGTTAGAGAATTTTTTTAATAGACTTTTAAATAAATAAATTTATTTAGAAAAGAAATATCCTTCCTTTTATACAAATAAAATTATTATCCTAAATTAAGATCGGATTAAAAAATTATGATATTGAAATACGTTGTGACTGACGGCGTGAGATAATCAGATGCAAAAATAAATGATCTTTATGGGGATTTTTAATAGAAAAAGCTGTCAACTAAAAAGATCAAGGGATTAATCTTTCATATAGAAACTGAATTTGACCTTTTATATACCTGATAAAACGTTAGTGGGTAATTTCAGCCTTCCGATCGTTCCCTGAAGCGCGAAGATCTCTTTGACTCCCGCTAATCCCGTTAATTGTCGCATAGACTTAACGCATCGGCGAATTTTCCCATGGAAAGTATTATCGCCAGCTTTCACACAATGCCAAGTATCTTTCGCTATCAAAGTGTCATTAACTTCGCAATTTATTTACGATAGTGAACTGCAAAGTCATGTCTGATATCTATGAAAATAAATTATAAAAATGAATCAAGAATCTAATTTATTACCGAGAGAAAATTAACATATTAACAATAAATTATATTGTTAATAATAATAATATAATTTAACCATCTGTAAAAATGAGATCATTACTTTATATATTTAAAATCTTTTACAATTAAATAATATTTAATGTGTCTTAA